TGCTGGAATTTGACATTGGTTTGACTGTTGTTTGGATCTCCATATTTGAATTCCTGAATCATCATCTGTCAAAATCACCCAATTTGTCAAATTTAGTTACTAGAAACATCACATATCCTCGTGTAGCTCCCTTCTCCAGTCTGGCCACCATTCTCTTTCCCATATGCTGGTCAATTGTTATCCTACATTAAGCCCATGAAAAATAATGTATGAATGGGGACCAGCAGTTAGAACGATGGATGATTAGACAATCAATTGGGTATAAATCAGTACTCTATAAATAAGAAGCTCATTTACTAAAATTAATGAAATTAGGCATAATACTCTTGAAGAAACTCAACATCAGTACTGTATACATAAGAAATTATATAACAAATTTAACATATTTCTGCCCGATGACAACAATGCTTTTTTTTACCATTCTGTACTTTTCAATAAGAGCTTATCAAAATGAAACAATGCTTTCCTTCAAAATGTTCTTACAGGATACTTTGGAAACAATGCTGTCCTTCAAAATGTTCAAAAGACTTATAATCAGACACAAATCCTTTTGAAAACAAAGTAATAATTCCATGCTTTTAAAGAAAAAAAAAACTTCACTCCCCAGTTCATATTATCAAAATCAGTTTGAAGATAGTCACTTAGACAACGTAGAAGCAATTTCAATTAAAACCAAAAATCAAACTGTTTCAATTCATCATTCCTATTAAAAAGAAATTATCAATGCTAATTACATTATTAACTAAATGCTACAGATTTAACAACTGTTCAGAAAATATAAATTAACACTTTTCAATCAGGAATCCCAATTATTAAATCCTTAACTTGGACTTAAGAATTCAAGAGAGGAATGGGTTGTATGTGTTCAAAATTAGACCCATTAGCAGTGAACTAGTCTCATAAATGGCAAAATTAATCAATCGGATTACCTTGAAGGTTCGTTAATCCATGTATCTCATATAACTATTTCTTATCTTCAAAGGATGATGTCCATCAGTTTGAGAAGGAGGCAAATCACGGGCTCCAATAGCTACTGTTGATGATGCCGTTTATGATGTCCAGTTGAGAGAGTTTACAGATTGTAATCGTTAGGCAGAGAATGAGAGAGAGTCGACGAATTCAGGGAGAGGAGAGAGAAATAGTGTATTTTTGTTTTTTATTTATATTTGATTTATTTTTAATTCCTATAAATTTAGCACATGTTCGGTTCATATTAAAATCTAATTTTAATCTAAAGTCAAAGTCAATAATAAATTTTAACCACATATTTTATGGGGTCCACAACTTTTCATCCACGTATTTCATCAACTTTTATCAAAATATACTAAAAATTGAATTTTAATCTATATCAAACAAGAGCTTAGTAACATAACTAATTGTAGGTAATATTTTAGATTTAAATATAATTAATTTGAGTAATATTACCAATGGATTCCGTTGGTAAAATTTTATATTTTTATTAAAAACATTTATCAATGAATTATCAACGAAATCTCAATGACGGCTATATGTCGTTGGTAATTCCATTGCTAAGACATTTACTTTATAATTATAAATTTTTTAAAATATATCGCCGGAAAATCGTTGATAATCCATTACTAATAGCAACGGATCAAGTTCGTTGGTAAAAATCCGTCTCTAATGTCTCCCTTTCTAGTAGTGACTTTGATGATCTTGCTGGTCCCATGTCATTTCTTGATTGGTTCAATGATCTTAAGAAGTTCTTTAACTTTTACAACAAAAGTGACTCCCATCATAGTTATTGTGCTAAAATGGCACTTATCGAATCTAGTAATTGTTATTAGAAGTCGTCTTTGCTCATATTGATTATCTAGTTTAATGCTTTGTCTCTTTGTCCGATAAGATGATACAAACATTAAGTAAAAAATAAGCCTCGTATATTATCGAACTCAGTTGCTATATCAATTATTTTTGTACAGTTGTTATATTTATGAAGTTTTCCACGTCATAATGTCTAAGTTTTTAATGGTTTGGATTTTGAAATCACGAATGACGACATTCCCGCACTCCAATTCTTAGATGAAGTTTACTGACATGCCAACCTATAAGACATTTCCTTCCGTCTTTGGCAAGCATACCATATGCTAGACCTACCACCTCAATCTTGATAGCCACTCTCTAAGTCTAATTTTGTTTCTCAGGATGAAGAAGAAAATGAGATTTTTACTCTAGAGCCTATTGAATATTCTGATAGTTGGACGATAGTTTTTAGATAATTGTCTTGTATCCCCTCTCAAAGTTGTCTTCCACATGATTGACTGAAGCACAATTGATGATTACCTTTGATGTTGCCTCCTAAGTCAAACATTCTACATATCCTCGGCTGCATGTCGAAATTTTTATTGCCTCCTCCTATATGTGAATTTACGAATAACTTTAGAACCTTAATATTCATTGCCATATTTTTGCAAGGCCATTGTTTGATCACGTACATTTCTTATTGACCATTGGTTATTGCATATGAATTATCGTTATATTATTTTAGCTTCATCAATCAAAGGTTGAGTGACATTTAATATTTCTGAGAAGTAGCCATCTTAGAGCCTAGGTCTACTTTTGAGAAGTAGGTTGATAAGCTGATCGTATAGGTGTCTACTTTAGAGATATTACATCAATCAATCGTAGGAAGATTTTGTACGAAATATTTCTTGAAAGATGTGAGGTGGAAAGTTTTTTCTTCTAACAAAGAGGCAAATTGTATCATATCACTTTCATAGCAAGTTATAGTACCTGGCCTAGGCCTTGGAAAGTCAATCTCTACAAGCACCTCCGCTAAAATGATGCATAAATTCGACTACATTAATATATGGCCTCGGCTCAATCAGGTAGGACAGTGATGTGGAGTGTGAGCTTGCTAGTTGGTTGTCACGTGACATTCTCTGGGACTTCATCAGAAGAGGCATAACAAAATATTTTATAAAATTTTCATTTTTTTTCATTTTTATTTTTTAGCATATCACACAAACAAACAAATAATAACATACCAACTAACTAAGATACATTTAAAAACTAAAAATACACATTATCCTTGATATTTGCACAAAATAGGCACATAAATTTAGCAGTCCTCGTCAAGGCACGGGCCGAACCCCATTTTGGGGCATCTGCTCGAGCACGAGCCACGCGTGCTATTTTCGGCCCGGACGAGCCGAGCCAAGTTTTATTTAAAAAATATTTAAAACTAAAAATAAAAACAAAAATTAGGCAACATTAAATTTTTTTTAAAAAATATAGTTGCTTGTGTTCAGCTATGACTCATGCAGCTATGCATACAATATATATGAAAAAAGCAAAAAAAAAGAAGAAGAAGAATGAGCCGGCTTAGTTCAGGCTCGGCTCAGCCCGCTACGGTTCGAGTTGAAAGCTCTGATCGAGTTTCAATTTTTTTGCCAAACTTTTGCTCGACTTGGACAAAAAAAGCCCGAACTACTTTTGCTCAAGTCGAGCTCGGGTTTCAAGTTTCAGCTCGTTAACACCCCTATGGGTGACTCCCCCCCTCCCCTTCCCTTCTCTTGAGAGCATTTAATACGTTGCAAGCTATTAAAGTCAAATTGATGTCTAAGATAGGATGCTTCGATTAAAGAGATGAAGACACACGCCTCATCATCCAATAGAAACAATTTCACATGTAACACTATAAATACATCATCATGTATCATTTGAAAGGTATTCAACTATATTTTGTTTGAAACTATAATTCATCTCTTCCTTGTTTTTATAACTCATATTGTTCGAGTTGAATGCTTGGTTTTAGATTTTGATTTATGTATTGTTGATTGCTTCTTATCATGCAATCTATTTCATATATGTTGTCGGCGTCCGAACATCTTTGTTTCTCGTTATAAAGCTTCTCACAAGCTCAAATCAAAGCAGTTGTGGACTAGTAATCCGCCCAAACGTGTTGGAATTAGATGTGCTTGATATTAGTTGTCCATGTGTATATATGAAATCGAGGTCAACAATAATTATATGAGATTTAAAGCTAATCCTATATTGATTGATAATGTGGGATGAGGAGAAATTTGACATAATTGTGATGCTAGGAATACTACCCTAAATATTTAATTTCATTAAAAAAAAATAAACTAGATGATATTTAAGTGTGCCTAAGTATTACATAAACCATAATAAATACAAGGTTATTTAAGAGTTATAGCCCGACTTTTTTGCAAAAGTGTGCCGGACATTTTGAATATGACTTTAAGGTCTTGCTCAGTTTATATAAGTTAACTTTGTACCAAATTTTGTATTATAAGTTTTTTAGTAGATTTTGATAGAAGTTGATGAAATATATGGTTGAAAAATTATGAATCTTATAGGTAATTGAAATCAATTATTGAATTTGACTTAAATTTTATTATAATTTTTTGAAAAGAAATCCAGTATAAATCGAGAAGAAATAAAAATAATAAAATAAAATACATTAGCGGCAAGGCGGTAGAATCAATCTCTCTCTCTCTCTCTCTCTCTCACTTATTAGGCTTGTTTCTCTCTCTATTTCTTACCATATTAGAACACCCAACAGTTGATTACAGGTGGGATTCTAATTTTTTTTTAAGCCAATCTCCTCTTTCTCATATACTTCCTTACTTCTACTCCATATTGGCTTTGGATATCCTTCCTTTTACATTGCCTCTATATATGTTGACATTAGTGATCTAGTATCGCAATACCTCTGAGTTGGTGTTTGTATGCAATAGGAGATTCTGCTGCGAATTCTTAGTTTCATCTTGCTTCAACTACAGGTCAGATTTTCCCATTAAACCCATCCTTTTTCACCCTTTTCTTGGAACGTTCTTTTTCGTTTTTTATTGAACGTATATTGAAGTTGGGTTAAAGGAAGTTCTGTATTTTTTTTTCTTGGTTGTATAAGTTTTTTCATAAGTTCTTTGAATTTAAGGGCTTCTTTTAAATGTATAATCAAGAATTGTTGGCTTCTTGTGAATATATAGGTTTTTAAATTGCTGACTGGAGAAACAATGGCACTGAATCAAGAAGAGAATTTGTCTTCTGGAATCAAGTTTGATAGTGAAGGTTTCTTGGAGAGATGCCAAAACGCAGAAAGGGAAAATCCGAAAAGTTTCGATGATTCCTTTGAAATAGATACCAATTTCCCAGGGGATTTCTTTGGTGTGGGTCGCAAAATAGGCTCTCTTGATGCGGCTATTATACGTTGCATTGAGGCTTTTGATAGAGAGTTTTGTGGGTTTAAGACGAAGGAAACACCTGAAGCCATGAAGGTTCTATTGAGGATTATGGTTCAAAGGGTCATGTTTTGGAGACTACGGAAAAACCTGAAGCTAACAAGGTTGCAGCAGTTCGTTCAATGTTGGGGTCTAAGGATGAGTTGGGTGGATACATGGACGATTACATAAAATTCAGATTCGATAATTATTGGTTCCCTTGGTGTGATGCGGCCCTTACGCGGAAATGGCTAGATGAAGATTGCATCCGCGCAGAAAAAGATGTTACCCCGCCAGATTGTCTGCTTTTTGACCTTGGTTATCTTGGTTTGGTTGAAGTAGTTTGCAAATTACCACGTGATGCAGTCCAAAACGATCCCCTTCCATGGAGAAATATTCACATAGACCATCCATTGAATGATAAGATCACTCAAAACGATCCCCTTCCATGGAGAAAAATTCACATAGACCATCCATTCAATGATAAGATCACGGACGATGACCTTCTGAGGATAACTAACCGGGCTCAAGGTACTCTTCACAGCCTGAGCCTTGTGGAATGCAGAAAAATAACTGCTGCTGGTCTGAGGCGCATTTTTTTAAGCAATCCGGGGTTGTCTGAGGTTAGTATACTTTAGATGGAATTATCTAATTATGTATTATGCTGCCATTGCATTGGATTATTTTCTGTCTTTTAATGCTAATCTTCTTTCAAGGTTTATCATTCCATAGATCTCCTTGTTATCTAATCTACATATAATATATAGTTGTTTGTGGTTTGTGGACCATCTTTTGTGAACGGGCAGATCTACAGTGGGGGCAATGGGGTCTGCTACCCTACATTAAATTTGAAGTCCAAGATTTCCTGGCTCCGCCCCCGCTTTTGTGTGTAATTCAAGTGTAACAAAATGGATCAATTTTTTATTACCGTTGTAGACAGTCATAGTAATCTTATTTGTCTGGTTTGAGCTTTGGTTTACATTATATTGCTATTAGAAACACAAGAACTTTGGTTTCTATATAACACGGCATTCTTTCTCGATATTTCTTCAATTGTCAGTTTCGAATCGACCATATTTACAGCTTAATCTGTTATTTCTAGGCATTTATACACATATGTTGATGCTGAGGTTAAAGCAAGTTTTGTAATTTTTCTGTTCTTTTGGGAGTGAAGGAAGAAATGCTTTGAATTTTTCTGTTTAGTTATTGAATCTCATGATAAATAATTGGTGGCTTCTTGTTATCATATAGGTTGTTGCCGTGTTGAAGGGAGAAACAATGATAGTGAATAAAGAAGGCTATATTGGACATTTCATGGAGAGACGGCCAGGGATTAGAACTCAAAAATGAAGATACTGCTTATGAAGATTTTTTTTTACCGATGATCACTTTGGTTCAGGAAGTTTGGCCAATGATCAGTCTCAATCTGAGATGCCTTGTGAAGGTATTGTGCTGCTTTACCGCCCAATGATTCCTTCTGTACGGGAGTTAACATTAGTTTGCATGACGATTATCCCACAGATTCTTATGGTGTAGATTGGAGAAAAGGCGAGTTCGCTGCATCTGTTTTGGATTGGGTTTTGGAATGAGAAGATCTCAACTTGGAAGCCAACTCGACTATGATGAAACTCTCGTGACTAAGGATGCAATCTTTCAACAAATAAGAAGAAAACATGGGTTTATTCTATTAGATAGAGTTGGACCTTTTTACTAATATTAGAATTTTATGGGTTCTCTTCAGAATTAGTTTTAACATTAGCATTTCAATTGTTATACAGTTTTTTTAAAGAAATACAGACAAAACTAAATTTGTGTAAGCCATTTATCAATTCACAGAATTCTTCTTTTATCTTATTATCAATACAATAATTTAACTACTACTCGATTATTATTATTTTTTATCTTAAATACAAGTAAAAAGATGAAAATACAAAATTAAGTGAACATAACAGAGATTGGGTATTAGATGAAAAAAATATCCAAAAAAAAAATTATTATAAATAATTAAATATTATTTATTACTTTCATCGATATATTTATTTATTGTTGTTGATGTATTTTTCTTGGTTGGACTTTTTTTTTCATAAGATTATTTAATTGGTATGCGGTAACATCTCAACTAGACGGACTCTTAAGCATTCCAACGTTTTATTAATGATACAATAGAACCAAAATTCAAATCAACAATGACTCTTATTATGAGGGCTAAAAGACTCTCGCATCGCACAAGGAAGTGGTATTCAACTTACGAAACAATACTCAAATGTTTCGTAGTGTTTAAAGTTATATGTGTGCACCTAAATTTTAAAGAAATTTCAATTTGGACACTAAACTTTCATTTGTCTCAATCTCAACATGTGTAATTGAATTTTGATTTAGTTATAAATTTTAGGGCTCTATCGTCAATTACCATTTTGTCACATTGTGTGTAAAAATAACAATAAAAAAGAACATGCCTTTTAATCTAAAGGTATTGTTATAATTTTCATTTTATCATTTTTGTTTTTAGGGACGTCACATAGTGATTACGTGGAATATTAGTTATATTGTGATTACCAACTAATCATTCTTTGTCATTTTTGGGTATGAGATATCGTCAATGTGACAACATGATGAAATTCAAAATTAAGAACTTGTTTGAGATTTAAAAGAATCTTATTCTAATTTAAAGGATAAAATCAAACATTAATTTTAACTATATATTTCGTAGGACTCACAATTACAATCACTTCTCTAAAATTCATTCTATATAAAATTAAAACTTCATTATCTGACAAAAAAAGTTCAAATCACTAAGGGTAAGGGACACCATAGAATAAATTTATTCTGCATAATAATAATAATAATAATAATAATAATAATAATAATAATAATAATAATAATAATAATAATAATAATTCAATCCTGAAAAATGCTCTAAGGTGAAACTGGAAAATATTGGCAGCGTAACATCACCTCACAGGAGCAAGTCTCGCGCCACATATGTTGTTGGTGATTGTGTGGTGAACATGCTAATTATATTATGAAATATTAAAAAACGAATGCAGAAATGAGGAAAGAAATAAAGAAATTGTCAATCGAGACTACTGTTTAACACTAGGTTTTAAAGACGAATTTGTCACGCTAAGGTGCTTACGGAGTTTTGACAATTGTCTCCCAAGATACGACAATTTCTGATTGTTGTAGATGCACTTCAAACGATAAGAAACAACGATCTCAAAATAGTTTTTCATTATCTACTTTGTATAGGTTTTTATGCAATAAAAACTTCGATTATGCAATGAATTTGGTGTAATATAATTAATGCATATGATATGTAATGAATTTAGACCACCAAGGGAATCCAAATTTTAGTGGTTGAGAGTTGTGGTTAGAGAGACATGCCCTAAAATTGAGCATGTTTCACAAAGAGACACAACCCTTCAAATTGTTTGCTAACCGCTTACCACACAGCTCAAGCAAAAATTTAAGTGGCTTGGCTGCTCGCTACCCTCGAGGCGGCAGCTCGAGTGGTCATCTTCTAGGGCCGTTTTTCCTTTTTCTCAATCTAACTTTGGACGTCAATTTCTCATTTATCTAAAATTGATTTTGTGAATTCAAATATACTACGACTATCTATTCGATGAGTAAAATAAATTAGTCTATTCATACCGCGAATTGACTATTGGAACCTACTCGAATACTTGGCTGAAGTTGATACAAAATTAACGTTTTATAAACCTAATTATAACAATCCCACACATGATTCCAAAAAATGCAAATGATAATGCAGACATTAGTAGAGAGTACAAGCGAAAAGATATTGAATCAAGTGAGATAGCTTGGGCTTTGGACCTGCCTTTGTCAAATACTATTGGAATTACTTAGCTAATTAGTGAACATAACGTGTTGAACTATTCAGCCATTGTTGTAAACTAAGACAACAGTACTCACACAACATCTTTCGTTACAATTTCGGTTCTCCTGATTGTGTTCATTTTGGCCCTGAATTATTTTTCGATTTCGTAAGTGTTTTACAAAATTACAGTCTAAAAAATTATCATAGAAACGACCCCACTTCACACTTATATAGATGATCTCCTATTAAGAGTATTTTACAATACTCCACTTAACTTATTCAAGTTATTGCAATCATTAAAAGTATAACTTAATCTCAAACATTTGGCAAAAAGCACTTTTATTATCACATGAATTGGTAGGAAATAATTCCAAAGTGTTTCATGGACTCTTCATAACTTAATTGTCATACTGAACCAAGATCTTGAGATCTCCATTCAACAAGATTGGATTACCATTATAAAGACTCTTATGTAGCAGGATTTAATTCCATTATCTTCAATGGGAAATATATTTGATCGCTAGATAAACTTTTCATAAGCGGATCAGCGATATTTTCTTTAGATTTCACCTAATCAAAGGAAATAATGTCATTTGAGATCAATTGCTTAATGGTATTGTGTATATGACGTATATGCCTAGACTTACAATTATAAGTGACTCCATATCTTATTAAATATAGCTAGCTACCACAATTAATTTATTTAATAGATACAAATAGTCACCAACTAATGAATTCTTCCATACATATATGAAGTCACATGCTTTTATCTCGCTTTATCTAAAGCTATATTACAATATGGTTGGAGGATTTCTAACATATTATCGCACTGGTCATAGTAAAACAATTTTACTAGTGAATTTTGAATCATTGATAATGGGTATTCAATTTACAATTGGACTACAATGTAGTCCAATTTATGAATATTCTTCAAATATTCCAATAATTATTATTGCATATCCAATACAAATGCTATAATCATTTTTCATGCAATTTTAACCATCCCTATACTTCTAAAAGTATAAGGGTTTTCTACATTTTCACCTTCATAGAAAAAATTTCTATGACTTATAAAGTACAAAGTATGTAACTTATAAAATAACTTATCCCCACAATTCTTCAATTAAGAATGTATTCTATGAGTAGTAATTGCAACCCTCACAAATCTTGATTCAAGCTCGAACTTAAAGTTTATCAACTCTTTTAAAAATTCGATTCATCCATCAAATAGACAATATCCACTTCACTCTTCGAAATATTGTTTAAGAAGACTATACAAGATTTCTGCTTGTTGTAGAAGCACTTCAAACAATAAGGAACAACGATCTCAAAATAGCATTTCATTATCTACTTTGAATAGGTTTTTATGCAATAAAAACTTAGATTATGCAATGAATTTGGTGTAATACAATCAATGCATATGATATGGAATGAATTTAGACCATCAAGGGAATCCAATTTGTAGTGGTTGAGAGGTTGTGGTTAGAGAGACATGTCCTAAAATTCAGCATGTTTCGCTAAGAGACACAACCTTTCAAACTGTTTGCTAACAGCCCATCACACAACTCGAGATATCAATCTAACTTTTTTGTCAATCTAACTTTAGATATCAATTTCTCATGCATCTAAAATTGGTTTCGTGAATTCAAATATATCACGATCATCTACTCGATAGTAGAACAAATTAGTATATTCATACCACGAATTGACTATTGGAACCTATCGAATAGTTGGCTGAAGTTGATACAAAATTAACGTTTTATAAACCTAATTTTAACAATCCTCCATATAAATAAAAAA